ATTGTGTGGCCCAGCCTAGTCTCAGACCCAATATGGTTCAAGCTATACAAGAGCAGACGGGGAAGAAGGTTGGTGCAAGCTGAAAATGAAAGGAACTAGCAGTCCAGCAAGCCCAATACACGTAGAAAAAAAAGCTTTGTTTCAAGAAGGAGAAGCAGGGCAGCTGGTGGTCTTAGCAAACACAAAGGTGTCGTCGATAGTCTTAGATTCCAAAGAGGGGCTATTTTCAGAGCCACAACAGCAGCAGTAGCTTCCTCATTGTCATCCTCTCAGAGTCTTTCGAGGATTAGAAGGATAAATCTAGTTGAAGAAGCACAGGCAACTCTGAAGGTTAGAACAGTTTTGGGGCTACAGTATCGTGGCCAAAAAGAAGAGGTTGTGAGCAAAATAGTGGACTTAGAGGAGAACGATTTGGAGAGACTTGTTGGTGTGGATGGGACAAATAGAATCTAACTGTTTGTTAATAGGGGCTATGGGGGTGTTATGTCTGTTTCTTCATGAAGATATTGTCTTAGAATGTTAGAGGGCTGAGAAGGCCAAATAAAAGGGGTAAAATCAAGTACCTGGTGAAAGCTAGGAGTGTGGATGCTTCATTGCTCCAAGAAACGAAAATAAGTACTATGGATGCTTGTTTTGTGAAAATCATTTGGCCTTATGAGGAGATGGATTTTATGGAGGTGGATTCAGATGGTAGTGCAGGTGGATTATTGTGCATCGAGAGGCTAGATATTTTCAAGCTCAGAGACTGCTGCTGTGGTAAGAATTTTATTCTTCTTTCAAGTACATCATGCTATTTTTTTGAGCGTGTCATTGTCAATATATATGCCTGTAGACGTCCTCGAACGTCCCGGGGGAAATCTCCCCCGTTTTGTTCATTTGGGCTCACTACAGTTCAGGACTCAATGTCACGGTCCTGTATTTAATCTCGCAGAGTGCAATGCAAGACCGATGAATCATCAAAGAGTCCAAATCCGACAAATCGTTTTGAAAAACTAATTTTTAGAAAGAAGTGCCAAACATGGACTGCTTTGTTAGATACAGAGTCGCCACCTAAATATTTTATTTTGGGAGAATTTAGGAAACCCTAACTCGTGCCTAAGGCCACGTGTCCGTCATCACCAAAGTTGTCTCGGCTCAGGAACTTGGGTACGATTGGGGAAGGTCACTTCGTGAGCACCCCCACTCGCCCGATCAAAAGATCGCACTGCTAAACATGATATTTGTTTTTGAAAACAGATGTTGTTCTTATTCCGATTAATTAGCTAGAATTACTATGTGATTGCGCATAGCAAAACAAAGTATAGACTAGATCGCCTAATTTGGAACAAAAGCATTGCATATCCATTTGTTCGGAAAAATGGTTTGAGTTTTGCTACTCGCAAGTAGGCTAAAATACGGATTTCAACGAATTGTCCCAATTCAAACAATCCAACCTTCACCCACAGGCATTCAGGCAGTTACATCACATACGCAAATAGCCTCATGGTAAGCATACTATTCATGGCAACACTCACACCCATGCAAGGATGCTAAAGCGTAAATGCTTACCTAGTACTCCAAGCCAAAACAGAAACTAGTTAGTAATCAATGCATGATCCTAGTTCATGTTAAGATGGTTAATGCAACACATGCAAAAAACAAGTAGAAAATAGGCTCGGCTATTCTAAGATGTTCATGTGAAATGCAACTTGATACATGTATTCAAATTGGAATTGAAATACAATGCAGTTAGCAATGATGCGCCGAGCCCAGTGCATGCAATAGACATGAATGTGTGCAAACATGCTATCATAAGTATGCTAATTGAAACGTGCCCTAAAACTAACCATCGTAAGCGGTTAAATAAAAGGGAGAAAGAAATGGGGGTTGGAAGACATGCATCACACACGCACACTTATTACAACATTGCCCTCTCTCGGAGGGTCCGAAAGAATAATACAAATTAACTAACTAACAAGCTAATTAATTATTACACAACACTTAACTAATTAAATGAATTAATTAAGCTAAGAAAGAAGTAAAGAGGCCTCGGGAAGAGGGATGAATGCATACATGTTCGGTTTTGCTCGGAAATCCATCGCCATACTCATGCTGCCTCTGTTTACACTGCTCTGCACTTCTGAAAACTGCACAAGTTTCCAGGATGTTTCTGAACCACCTTCTGAGCACTGTGGAAGGTCACCGGCCATGGGAAACTGGTCATCGACCATGTGTGAGGCTCTCGGCCAACAATTCATAGCCGACTGGCACTGAAGATAGCCGACCGGCCATATCTTCCTGCAGAATCCTGTTTTGCTGCAGCAGAAGGCAAACAGAGCATGGCAATGTATTTTCAAAGCAATGTTTGCACAACCACCCTCCTTATCATGTTTAAGACTCAAAGAAGTATGGTTTTCGACCCTCGGACCATCAATCACGCATTTCAATGCATGATGGCCAAAGAAGCCAAGTGTGCAACTCAATATGGAATGAAATACACAAAACACATAAAGGGCCCCAACCTCTATCATGATTGATCAAGAGGCAAGAGATGCACACACAATGCAATGCAACCTAGGCAAGCAAGCAAGTATGCAAATAACTCAAGTGTACAACAAATCTAATGCAACATAAGCATGCTAACATGCAATATGCAATAGGCATACAACCTAAACATGTGGACATGTATAGCATGCAACAACATGCAAAATGAAACAAGCATGCAACAACATGGTGAGATAGACTTACACTAACATGGGTAGCTCTTAAGCATGCCAAAATCAGTGGCCGAATGTGTTGGGATGGTGGCTCGGAATGTGCAAAGATGAAGCTCATGCAATGGTCCATAAATGAGGCATATAAGCACAACTCTCAAATGCATTTAAAGAGTGATAAATGCATGTGAATAACCATGAAACATGGACTGAAATTACACTACAAATGATGCCAAATCATTGAAATAGGCCAAGTAATCCATACTAAATGACACAATACACAAAGCTTACAAGCAAGATTGAAGCAAGATTGAGCCAAAGCTATGCAAAACAAGTCATGGGTGACCAAGACAACTAAAATCAGACCTCAAGCATACCAAAACATGGATAACATCTTCTTGAAGTCAAGCCAAAAGCATGCTAAAAAGACATGTCACAACATGACGCATGTTAGGCTATTTCATGGGATTGCATGACAAGTGTATGGAGCATGTAAGAGCTAACCAAACCAAACCTAAACAAAGGTATGACATGATAAAATAAGCCTAAGAACATGCTGAAATGGACACAACATAGGCTAAAATGAGATGCTACTTCAAGGAGCATACAAAGCTAGTGTGTGTGATTTACACTACAAGTGTATAAACCACGCATGGAATGACCAAGATAGGCAAAAACAGTGGCATATGACAGAAAAATAACCTGTTAAAACTACACCAAAAATCTATTGAGATGGCCTAAAAACAAGCTAGAAACACATGCTCAAACATGAGACATACAAGACTAGTTTGCAAAATTTACACTACAAGTGTATAAACCATGCATGGAATGACCAAGATAGGCAAAAACAGTGGCATATGACAGAAAAATAATTGCAAATACGAGCTAAGACATGGCCAACATGAACTTAACAAAGGTGCTCACATATGAGGCAAATATGACAAGTATTGAAGACAACAAGGAGAGGGGATGGCCCTCTCCTTCCTAGGACCTCAAAACACCACCCCCACTACTGAAATCCCTCTGGATTTCAGTGGTGAGAAGGCCAATACAAGGTGGTCCCGAAGCTCACAAAAAAGGCACAAAAATGAAGCCAAACAAGGCCTAAGAGGGGGGAAAACAACCCCAAACACAAAAGTGATCTTAAACAAGGATCAAAAGAATGCAAAATTAGAACTTTTATCAGTTATAAGTTAAGCTCAAAACAGCATGCAAGATAGGCTAGAAGTGTGTGCAAAAATGGGGAATAAAGAGGGTAGTTCTCACCCTTGATGCACAGCTGCAAAACCAGCAGGTTCTTGGACCAAGAACCAACTCTTTAACCTCTGAAAATGACCTCCAAGAACCTTAGATGAATGGTGGAGGTGTGTGGCTATGAGGTGTGGTGTAATAGGCCAAGAACTAGACCCTTTTGAACCCAAAATATAGAGATATAAAGAGAGATATATCTTGGAGCCTTAAACAAATTTTTGGAACCTCTCTAAAGGAGAGGGAGGCCCTCTCTTGTAGAGAAACAAGAGGGTTCAAGCTTCTTGGAGAAGCTAAAGAGATTCAAGCTTTTTCAAGAAGCTAAAAAGGTTCAAGCTTCTTGGAGAAGCTAAAAAGGTTCAAACAGTTCAAGCTTCCTGAAGAAGCTAAAACAAAGGTTCAAAAGGTTCAAGTTTCCGCAAGAAGCTTAAAACAGGGGTTCAAAAGGTTCAAGCTTCCTCAAGAAGCTAAAACAAAGGGTGCAAATCCTCTATACACATGTATGGAGGGCAGGGTCTGTGCCACCTGGCACTAAATATCTGCATAAAGCAGATGAACAGGGTTCGGCCAGTAGAAAAGGCCGATCGACCAACACAAAGGGCCGGCCGAATAAATACATTGCCGACCGGCCATCATTTTTGGCCGGTAGCAATAAAACAGGGTTGGTGGCCTCAGGCCATGGCCGGTGATGTGTGGGGATAGCCAACAAGCCATTTCCCGTCCTCAAGTGTAAAGACCACAAGTCCTTGGTCCAACCATGCACAAAACAAATACGTCGAGAGATCTTGAGGCAAGGTGCGCGATCGAGACCTCCGAGAACTTAAGACGAACACGAACATGGATGATCATCGAGTGTTCAAACGATGATGTCCAAGTCTTGAAGACGGTCAAAAATGGGATGTCTACAATGCCCCGAATGAGACTGTGTGTAGGAGGTAGCTTTGGGAGCTTCTGGTTAATGTATACCCACATTATTCAAATCCTTGGTGTGTGGGTGGGGATTTCAATGAAATTAGGTTCATGTGTGAGAGAAAAGGGTGCTTTGATAGGGATAGGGGGATGAAGGACTTCAATGAGTTTATTGACAAGTTGAAATTGTCAGATTTGCCTATGCTAGGTAGACAGTTTACCTGGTGTTATGCAATAGATGGAGAGAGATGTAGCAGGATAGATAGATTCCTCCTGGATTCAAGGTGGTTAGAAAAGTTCTCTTTCAAGCAATGGGGTCTACCTAGATCCATATCAGATCACTGCCCCATTCTACTGAAGGGGGATGAAAGGGATTGGGGTCTCAAACCCTTTAAGTTCTTGAATCCTTGGCTTTCATACCCTACCTTTATGCCTGAAGTTAAACAGCTTTGGGAGAATGATCAAGTATCAGGATGGGCATGGTATAGATTAATGAGGGAATTGAAAGAATTAAAATCCTATCTAAGAGTGTGAAATAAGGAGGTGTTTGGTAATATTGATAATCTTTTGAAGTCAGTTGAAGAGGAGGTGCATGATTGGGATTTGAAGGCTGAATCTAGAACTCTGGCTGATGTGGAACTCAGGAAATGTAGAGAGGCTAGGAGTTTGATGTGGAAATTAAGCAAAGATAAAGAGAGGTTGTGGCTTCAAAAGTCTAGAATGCTATGGGCTCGTAATGGTGATAAAAACACTAGGTTTTTCCACCTTATGGCCAGCAGGAGACAGATGAAGAATATGTTAGATTCAATTTGTGTGGAGGAGGTGACCTTTGAGGACCCTTTTTAGATTAAACAAGCCCTAGTTAGGCATTTCAAGCATCAGTTTTCAGAGTCTTGGACTATGAGGCCAAAGATTTCAAGTCCTTTCAATGTTATTAGTCCAGAGGCAGTAGCCAATCTGGAAGGGGAGTTCTCTACAGATGAGATTTGGGCAGCTCTTCAAGATTGTGATGGTTGTAAGGCCCCTGGACCAGATGGTTTTAATCTTGAATGCATTAAAAAGTGTTGGCCTGTTATGAAGAGTGAAATTATCCAAATGATTCAAGAATTTCACACAAATGCTAAATTGTCAAGTGGGGTCAATAGCTCATTCATTGTGCTCATTCCTAAGAAGGATAATCCTTTAGGCATGGGTGAGTATAGGCCCGTTAGTTTGGTTAGCTCCATATATAAGATCTTGGCCAAGGTATTGTCTAAAAGAATGAATGAGGTGCTTCCAACTGTGATTAGTTAGGTGCAGACAGCATTTGTCAGTGGTAGACACATTCTAGATGGAGTGATGATAGCTAATGAAGTTGTCAATGGGTGGCACAGAGCTAAGAAGAAAGGTATAATCTTGAAATTGGATTTTGAGAAAGCTTATGACTCATTCAATTGGGAATTTTTGCTGTCAATGTTGGGAAATCTTGGTTTTGGAACAAGGTGGATTAGATGGATAAAGACTTGCATCACAACATCTAAGGTGTCTATATTGGTCAATGGTGCACCCACTAAGGAGTTTCTACCACAGAAGGGGCTAAGGCAAAGAGACCCATTATCTCCTTTTTTTGTTCATAGTTACTGCTGAAGGTCTAACCCTTTTATTGACAAGGGCCATAGAGAAGGGCTTGATTAAGGGTGCTTCAATAGGCTCTGATCAGTTGGGTATCTCACACTTTCAATTTGCAGATGATACTATCATTTTTTGTGAAGGTGATTTGGAGGAAGTTATGAACATAAAGAGGGTATTGAGGTGCTTTGAGGTGTTATCTAGACTGAGGATCAATTATCATAAGAGTGTTATTTGTGGAGTGGGTGTTCAAGAGGAACAAACTAAGGCTATTGTTGAAGCTTTGAATTGTCTATCTAAGAAGTTGCCACTTAATTTTTTAGGGTTGCCTTTAGGGGCCAATCCCAGAAGGAAGAGCACTTGGTCTCAAGTTGTGGATAAGATAGAAAAGAAGCTCTCTTCTTGGAATAGGAAATTGATGTCTTTTGCTGGCAGATTGACCCTTATCAAATCTGTATTGTCCAATCTTCCAACCAATTTTCTTTCTATCTTCAAGATGCTTAAGGGGGTTGTCAAAACTATATCTAAACTTCAAGCCAACTTTCTGTGGGGAGGGACTGAATCCATTAGGAAAGTGTACCTAGTCAAATGGAGGGAGGTCACAAATAGTAAGAACCAAGGTGGATTAGGTGTAAGGGACTTAGGTGAGGTTAATGTCTGCCTGCTATTAAAGTGGTGGTGGAACTATAGCTATGAGGACAAAGCTTTGTGGAAATCTATGGTATGCTCCAGGTATGGCAGAATTGGTGGGGGATGAACTCCTTCAATGAATCAACCAACAGGGGCCTCAATTATTTGGAAAAATATCTCGCAGCTATTTGAGGTGAACCAGCAACTAGGTGAATTTTTTGGTGATCAAGTCAAAATCAGAGTTGGCAATGGGAGGAGAATAAAGTTATGGTTCGATGCTAGGTTAGTTAACAGAGGCCTCAAGGTGGAATTCCCCAGATTGTTCAGTTTATCCACTTAGAATGAGGAAACTTTGCAGCAGATTAAGGCAAAAATTGGGGGCACAGGAGGGTGGCAACTTCAATTTAGAAGGAATTTATTAGCCTGGGAAGAAACGGAATTGCAGAGGCTGTTAGGCATGCTGGAATCATCCCCTTGCCTCAAATTTGGTATAGAGGACTCTTGTTCCTGGTTAGCAGAGAGGTCAGGGAGGTTCACAGTAGCTTCTGCGTAGAGGTGGTGGGTTGCAGCTAGAGGGCCTGGTCTGGTAGTCCCAATAGGGGTTTGGGTAAGTTTTGCCCCTCCAAAAATGTAATTTTTTTGTTGGTTCACTTGGCGAGGCAGGGTTAAAATAACTTCCTTCCTCCAAAGAATAGGGGCCGTTGCTGTAAGTGTTAATAATCTGTGTATTTTCTGCCAAGCTGAAGTGGAAACTGTGGATCATGTGTTTCTGTTTTGCCCTCTAGTTTGGAAGTGCTGGTCTTATTTGGTAGAATGGTGGGACTTGGTCTGAGCTATACCAGGTTCAGTAGCAGGGCTGCTTTATTGGTGGTCTGTTGGTAAATTTAGGTTCAAGTCTTGGGTACTCAAAATATGGCAGATTATCCCCTCATTTGTATTTTGGTCTGTGTGGAAGTTGAGGAATGAGTGTTTGTTCAAGGGTGCCCATCCTGATTTTCAAGTTTTGTGAAAAGGTTAAAATGCAGAATGCCTTATGGACCAAATGGCACTTGAAGGTGGATTACGCAGTTCATGATATTGTATCCAATCTACACCAAATCAAGTGGTGTGCTGGTTGATAGAAGTTGCTTTGAGGGGTGTTTTGGTGCTGCTGTCTTGCTGAGGGGTGGAGAGCAACTTATCCCTTTGTTGTTCTGGGTGTTGTTGTGAGTGTGCTTTGTTGGTTCCTCACCAACATTTTGCTTGGTTCTCACTTTTCTCCTTTCTTGTTTCTCTTCCTTATTGATGTTCCCCCATATGTATTGTATGGTTTTGTCATCAATAAAGATTCTATTTGCTGATCAAAAAAAAAAAAATATTAATTATGGAATTATCTCTAAAAAAACAAAATCAATTAATATCAATTTTCCCCCCCTTATAATTGCCTTAAATTCTTTTTATTGCAAAATTGCATAATTTTAACGAAGTTTCATGGCCTTTTAACTTGCATCACTATGCTTTGATTGCCGTAACGGAAAGGTAATGGGTTGAGCCAGTAGGAATTCAATCACCGCGGATACGACTCCCACGTCTGGTGTCTCTTATTTTTCATTTGGTTGATTGATTGGTATGAGACAAAATAAATTAAAATGATTATTCACTATACTCTCCTAAGAAATGATAATTCATTTATAATAGTGAATAATGACTTTATTTATAATGTACCGTTTATTATATTTTTAATTTATCAAACAAGAGAATGAATAATTTGATAGAATGATTATTTCTCCCGTCGCATTTTAAAGAACCACCACTACTTCAATTAGACACTCGTAACCACCACTACTTCAATTAGACACTCGTTGCCAAGCAGAACATGTAATCCAATAAATGAGGGAAAATTTTAATTCAGTGTAAATTTTTTTAAAAAAAATAATTATAAATAAATAGTAAACTTTATAAATATTAATAGTTGAAGTCAATACTTTACATGAATGTATAATGACTTTCCGAAAGTACACAAATCATGTCCCACTGGGAAAGGTAACCCGAACCGATTTATTTTGCCCAAATTTGTTTCCTGTCCAAATTTTGGATTAGATGTGTGTCGGTTCAAGTGTGAGGTACCAGTCTCTATAGCTTTTAAGTTTAGTCAATACTTTACATGAATGTATAATAACTTTCTGAAAGTACACAAATCATGTCCCACTGGGAAAGGTAACCCGAACCGATTTATTTTGCCCAAATTTGTTTCCTGTCCAAATTTTGGATTAGATGTGTGTCGGTTCAAGTGTGAGGTACCAGTCTCTATAGCTTTTAAGTTTTTTAATGCAGTTTTTGAATTTTTTTTCGTACTTATTTATTTAATTTTTTTTTCATATTTTAGTTAAATTTTTATTTTTAAATACACTACCTTAGATGCATCTAAAAAGTAAATTTTTATGAAGAAATTAGGAAACAAAAAAAAAAAACAAAACAAAACAAAACAAAAAAATGAAAATGTATTGAATTTTTATATATATTTTTTGTATTTACTCAACTTTTTTTTCAAAAAAATAAAAATATTTATTTTGTAAGTGCATTTAGGCTAGGTACATCAAAAATAATATTTTAAAAATTAATTAAAATATTAAAAAAATTCATTAAAGGCACAAAAATATGTATATATATATATATAAAACTTAAAAATTCAAAATTGTATTTGAAAACTCAAACTAAAGAGAGTGGTGGTGCTTTCCACAAAATTCACTAGATAATTGTAACGCCCTCAAAAAAATACCTAAAATCCAACACTTTAGACATGCATTGATATAAAAGAAACTAACCATTTCTATTCATCAAAGTAATTCTTACAACTGTATTACATGTTAATAACAAAAAGCAAATGCCCTATGGGCTTACAGCTTTCCAAGTCAACACCTGATTACACAAAAGAAGAGTACTAACTCTATACAAAATAAGCCCTTGGCTTGATATACATGTAATACAAACAAAATAAACAAAAACAAAAAAAAGAGTCTTCAACTCTCATCATCATCCAAGCTATGTCCTTGGAGGTGGCATACTACCTGTACCTGAAAATAATGTCTCATAAAGGGTGAGCCAACGCCCAGTAGAGATATGCTAAACACAGTATGAGCAATGACTAAGACATTGGCAATTGATAAATGTTCAATTTCCATAAACCAATTCATAACCCATTTCCATTTCATGACCACTATGTCTATGTTTAATTTCAATTTCCATTTCTTATCCATTCCACAATTTACATCAACGGCTCAGAACCTGGCCAACCACTTATATGAGATAGTGACTCATACTAAACATTTCCCATTTTTACGATAGATAAACATACTAGTTGTATCAACATCTCAACAGATAAGCATACAAGCTGTATCCACATTTCAACAGATATGCATATTAGCTATATCAACACTTCCAAAGACAAACATATGAGCTGTATCAATACTTCCAAAGATAAGCATATGAGCTATATCAACACATTATCTGACAAGTATATGAGCTGTATCAGTGGAGTCCATCCCCTATCTCCTCCCAAACAACATCCGGTTTAGAGGTCCATCCCCTATCTTCCCCTAAACCGTGGAGTACATCCCGTATCTCCTCCC